AAAAAAGCAGACCAATCTTTTAACCCCTGAGCTATCTTTCTAGTGCCAGAATTTAACTGACTTGATCTTGTGCAGGAAACCACAGCTGCTGTGAGTTCTTGTGTGTAAGAGAGACAGGGCCTCACATAGCTCTGGTTAGTCAGGAACCAGCTAAGGTGGAGGATGACCTCAGACTTCCTGATGCCCTTGCTTCCACCTCTGAAGAAGCAGACCAATCTTTTAACCCCTGAGCTATCTTTCTAGTGCCAGAATTTAACTGACTTGATCTTGTGCAGGAAACCACAGCTGCTGTGAGTTCTTGTGTGTAAGAGAGACAGGGCCTCACATAGCTCTGGTTAGTCAGGAACCAGCTAAGGTGGAGGATGACCTCAGACTTCCTGATGCCCTTGCTTCCACCTCTGAAGAAGTGCTGGGATTATGGGCCTGAGCACCAACACCTCAGTTTATGCGGAGCTGGGGATTGAACCCAAGGCCTCCTGCATGCTAGCCCAGAACTCTCCAACTGAGCTACATCCCTGTCATTCTGCAACTGAGTGATGTACTGCTTAGACTTTTCTCTAACTTCCCAGACTTCCCTAGTGTCTATTTCCCAGTCTCCAATCGACAGACAGCAAGGTTGTTTCCAGACCTTTGCTAATCTACCCAGCAACACGATGACCAACATTTCCATATCTCATCTCCCACATACAGGAGATCTGAGGAGAAAAATAACTAAAGGGGCGGACTGAGTGAAAATCTTGCTTTTTCTACCAGAATATACCTTGGCTTATTATACAACAGACCTGCATGTGGTAGAACACTTGTCTAGCATGTTCCCGGTACCCTTGTATTACAAGGGAATGAATAAATAAATATTAGCAGTGCAAGCCGGTTACATCTGCCCTGTTCTACAGAATCCCAGCCCAGCCAGGCCATTCTTCCCTGCTCTTTCCGATCACCCACACTGGGCCCTTAGCATCCTTCCACCCCTGCCCCATCTGTCCCCAGCACCTCTGCACAGCTTTACATTCCTTCCCACTTTCTCTCACGTTTTGTCTCCCATCCTTGAGGTTCCTCCAGGGACTCTGCTCTGCCAGGTTGGACTCTACCTTATGGGCAGCTTTCTGACTCTTTGCCAATGCCTCCCCCTCCTCCCTCTTTATGGCTACAGCACATTTCTGGGGACGCCAGGTCAGAACAGACCCACCAGTCTTGACAGTTGGGCATTTAGGTTGTCTCCCTTTTCTTACATATAAGCAACATTATGTCCCCAGGGCAAAGTTGTCTGTGCCCCCTGTAGATTCTCTCCTTAGTGGGGACCTCAGGGTCAAAAGACACCACCTCTGGGGCTGGAGAGTTGGCTCGGTGGTTAAGAACACTGACTGCTCTTGCAGAGGACCCGGGTTTGATTCCCAGCACCCACATGGCGGCTACGAACCGTCCTTAACTCCAGTTCCAGGGGAATCTGAAGCCTTCTTCTGACCTCCGCAGCATTGCATGACACAGGTGCACTCACATACATGCAGGCAATACACTTGTACACATAAAATAAAAATAATAAAATATTTTTTTAAAAAAAAAGACACCACCTTTGAGCTTTGCTTATGGCTATCTGCTTGTTGCTAGATCCCTCCATCTGGATCTCATTCCCTTACTGGTCCCTATCCATGTGACTCCAGAGTCTCTCCTTGATCTGAGCTACAGTGGGCACAGACTACCAGGCTGTGTGACCTTGTGCCTTACACTCAGCTTCCATGAGCCTCTGCAAGAAGTGTGTATGCTTGAGTCACCTTTGGACCCCAGGAAATCTTAGAGGGGTGAATGCTAGGGGTGAAGACCTTAGGCTCACCCTGTGTGTCCCACCTGGCAGTGCACTGGAGACAAGGCTGCAGGCTTTGGAAGCACAGCAGCAGGCAGAGCTGGCCAGCCTCCAGGAGCAGAGGGAGCAGCTTCGCAGCCTCCTAGGCCACCAGAGTGGAGCGCTGGCTGGCCTGGAGCGCAGCCTACGTGCGGTCAACAGCAACTCCAGCTTCCTACAGCAGCAGCAGCAGCAGCTGGTAGAGTTTGTACAGCGCCTGGTGCGCATTGTGGCCCAGGACCAGCGCCCCAGTGAGTGGGAGTATGTGTGGGCCAGGGAGAAGGGTGGGAAAGGGAAAGGAGACCCTGTGTAGCCTCCCCATCCACTGTGGGGCAGGAACCCATCATGGGAAAGGACCTGCTCTCCCTTACCTTCCGCAGAAAAGAAATGCAAAGAACAGTGATTGTATTAGTCACAGAAGCCTTTAAGAGAAGCCAACCAGACTCTGCCCTTGTCTTCTGGGAGACCTTAGTTATGCCCCCATCCCACTCCTGGCCTTTAGTTCAGCAGAGGTGATAATAACACAGACAACAGCAGGCTACATTGAAAAATCTGGGCCCCAGGGTTCACCATCCAGTTCCTCTTGCTTGGCTTGCTCTACTCTTTCCTGGGTCTCAATTTCTCCATAGGATGGATAGATTGAATACAATGTACCCCAAAAGCTTCTCCCCCTAAAGCCCCCACTCCTAGGATCTCCAAGGGCTGGTGGAAGTGGGAAAAGATGTGGCATCCCCAGCCTGCCATAAAGAGAACAATGCTTAGCTTGGTCCCCAGCTTTCTCTGTCACTCCTGGTTCCTGCTGCAGTCACTCAGTCAGCAAGCACTTATTGAGCACCCACTGTGTGCCAGGCAGGGGCTAGGTGGCAGGGTCGGAGCAACGCATTTCATAGCCTTGTCTCCTGCAAAAATGTTCAGCCCTCAGTTGGTCTCATCTGAAAGGAGAAGGAAATGCCTCTTCCATGAGGACCTATGTGTCAGTGCTCTGTTAGCTGTCTACCTGCAGCTTCTGCCACTCAGAAGATGGAAGGAGCTGTGCCAGGGAGAGGGCACTTCAGCCTGAGGCCAGGAGAGGGCACAGGTTAAGTTGAACAGGCTTCTTTTAGAAAGTACAGACTGTAGCTAGGAGTGGAGACCTGCTGGGGGAGGGAGGGAGGGAGGGAGGGAGAGAGAGAGAGAGAGAGAGAGAGAGACCAATGGGGTTCCTGCCATAGTACAACCTTCATGGGAGAGGCCAAGCTGCCTATAAGGGACCCAGCTTTAAGCAAGGCTCATAGGGATTTGGAGAGAGGATCCCACTGTGGTCCTACCCTAAGTCCATCAGGCCAGAGAAGCCACAAGAAGGGGAGGTAGATGCCTTCCAAATTGCAAGATGTAGAGTGACCAGAAGCCATTATGGGCTTGTACGCAGCCCTGGCAGCGAGGCGACCTGAATGAGTTCCATGTGTGGGTTTCTTGAGGCTCAGCCCGAGGACAGGGCCTAGGCTAGCACCTCTCCTCACAGGCTGGCAACTCCCCAGTCTCCCACTGTGGCTGAATGTCTGACCCTGAGGTCATGTCAGGTACCTTACCTTGGGCACTCACTGTCCAGACACCTGTCCTCTTGTAAATTTAGCCTTTCTCTTGGGTGTCTGCCTCTCAGAGCACCTGGGTTCTGGAGGAATCACAGCCTGAATCTACTAAATGAGCTATAGAGAGAGGATCTTAAATCTCTGCAAGCCTAGGAGGCCGTGCTGGATTTCAGTCATTTAATTAGTACCATCCTGGTCTCAGGAACACAGTGCAGAGGGAAGAAATGCAGGTCCTTGAGAGCCAGTGGTCAGCTCCCAGGAAGGGCAGAATGAGGAGGCCTCTGCCCAGAGCTGCAGAAGATCCAGCTGCTCCATGGACCATGATGGAGCCCTGGCCCCCATCCACACACACTCCAGGAACTGAAAGCTCTGCCCCCTATCTGGGGGATCTTGAGCCAGTAGCTTCATCCTGGGGCCTGTTTCCTGCTCTGGGACATGAGAAGTGCCTCATCATAGGGCAGGTGTCCTCTCCATGTACCACAGTCTGGCAACCTGGCTATGGCCTGCCTGCTTTGGGCTTCCTCCATTCCAGCCTGCTACACCCTGGTAGAGCCCTCTTCTTCATTTGGGGCTCCTCTGGTACCATTCAAGACCATTGGCCCTGCAGAAACCCAGGCTCCATCTCTACCCACTTCCTTCTTCACCTTCTCTGTGCCAGTCTGGTGCTCACATAGCCAGAGCTCTCAAGGTGGGCCCTTCGCATGCTCTGTGACCTACACACCAAAACAGATCCCATCTAGGAGCATTTGCACATGCTGCTCCTCTGCCCAGATGCCCCATGACATGGAAAACCCATGCATACTGTTCAGGGCCCACTCCTCTAAGGGACCCTCCCCAGATGAGGTTCATCTCCCTATACCCACACCTCCTAGATACCTGCCTGATTCCTTACTAAACTCTAGCAGATGTCTCTCTGTCCTTCCTTCTATTCCCCTGTATCTCCTTCCCTTCCTCCCCTTCCTTCTTCCTCCTTTCTACCTTTTGAAACAGGGTCTTATAGTCCAGGTTAGTCTCAAACTCAAGATCCTCCTGCCTCAGCCACTGCCATGCCTGGGCTTCCAGTTGACATTTGCTTCCTATTGCAGCCTCCTTAAGGGCACCTGAGCAGTTGTTCCAGGACTGTGCAGAGATCCAACGCTCTGGAGCCAACATCAGCGGCGTCTATACCATCCACGTGGGCAATATGACAGAACCCCGCAAGGTTAGGGGGCTCCTGGATGGGGGCAATGAGAGGGTACTGAGCCTAGGACTTCCCTAACAGACACCCCCATCAGCACTAGGGTTTGTCCAACATCTGAGATCTCAGTGAAGGGGGAACCCTTGCTTCCAGGAGCCGCGACCAGGCAAGGATGAGAGGAAGGAGTAAAACTTAAGTTCCCAAAGCCGGAAGTATGTCTTTTGCTGGCATTTTTCTCTAGAAGTGTCTATCAGAGTAACAGGAAATCATTCTATGTCGGTAAAGATGGCACCTGCTCATGTCACAGATAGCTCCAGGCACTTAGCCCAGTAGGTTATTCAGTTTACATTAGCCTAGTGGAAGCAGGAGTTGGACCTCTGCTCCCATAGGAAGTTGGTGATGGGCTGATGGAGGTGTGAACATCCCATGAATGGCTCCACAGCCCTAAACTTGACAATCGCAGTGTGATGGGGGGGGTCAGGGGAAGTGCGGGTGTCAGGATGTTTAGGGCAGGTCCAGAGGGGACAGGTATCCAGCAGAGCCCTGGTAGTTTCTATTCTGCCTTTCTGCACGTCAGGAAAAGCAGCCCTGTGTGACCCCAGGTTGCCTTCTGTGATTCCCTTACACCAACCAAACTCCCCTTTCAGCATAAAGAGATCAAGACCAGGACCCTGTGTTGACAGTAAGTGTCTAGCTAGTACTTCCTGACACATTTTTTTCAGTATACTGATTTTTGCTCTGGATAAAGGCAAGTGTTGCTGGCTTTCTGTTTATACTGATAAGATGTCCTTTGAAAATGCATTCTATCTATGTATGCAAGTATGGAAACAACAGTGTTTTTAAAGTAAATAGGCCTCATGAAATTGATGCGTTGAGCTGTGGTACAGTCCAGGAAAATGTGAATTGCTGGAATTTGGGGCCAATGATGGAGAGGCAGGAGCTGGCCTGAGAGACAAGAAAACTGAACCTGATCCAAGCTTTGGCCTCACTTGGCTGCCCATTCTTTCCCTCTTCAGCTTCCATTTCCTTCTCTGCACCCTCTGCTACCACCACAATAGGTGTCCTGTCTTTCCTCCCTGGTGGGCCTTTCCCACTGCTGAGCCCTACCCCTCCTGGACATCCTCTGAAAATGCCATTCCACCCATCTCTACGTGGCAGGTGCATCATCATCTGATATCCTTTTCCAAAGCCACCTCCTCTGGGAAGCCTTCCAGGGTGCCCATGACTGCCTCCTTATAGCCATCCAAATATTCCCACTCAATAGTCAGCCTGCTTAAACCTCTTCCAAAGCCAGCCAGCCCTAAGGGATGATTTATCAGCCACTGATTTGCTAGCAACTCACCTAGTGCAGGGCCAGACCACATATCTGTGTTCACTATATATTGAAGATGTACTGAACCAACATGTGTGAACAAAAGCTGTGCTGAAAGATAGCTGTAATAGATGATACACTCCTTGACAATTCTTTTTGTTTTATTTCTACCAGACCCCATCCCATGCCTCAACAGAGCTTGGCATGTAGTAGATGCTTAGAACATATTTGTCCACTGTCTGCTCATAGGAACAGCACTTCCTCAGTCCACACTGTATCTAAATGCCTTCTGCCTGCTACAGGTTGAATGTGAATACTTGGCTCCTGGTGGATGGTGCTGTTCTGGAAGGTTCTGGAATGTGTAAAAGGTGGCCTAGTTGAAGGAAGTGGATCAGTGGGACCATGTCTTTGAAGGCCATACCCTGATCCCCATCCCTTCTTCCTTACTCTGCTTCCTGTCTGCTGTGAAGTGAAGGACCTCCCCTACGACACACTCCCACCACCATAAAGCTCTGCCCCAGTGTAGGGGACTGACCACTCTGAAACCATGAAGGAAAGAAGTCCTTCCTCCCTGGGGCTGTCTATGTCAGGTGTCTGATATAAACTTTAACCCTTGCTGCACTACTGTCATAAAAAATGAAAATTTCCCCGTGTGTGCCAGGCTCTGTTCTGAATTGTTTTCTGTGATTTGTCTCATTTCATTCTCACAGTAATGCCAGGTTAAGTATGGACATGAGGAGAAGGCTGTGAGGAGAAGGCCTGCCTCCTTGGATAAGACAGTGGGTGGAGAGCGAGTCTGGGGTTTTCTGATGCCCAATGCCCTTTGATTGCCAGGTTCACTGTTTTGGGGGGAAGGCAGGGTGTTAGCCAAGTCACATTGAAGCTGGCCCAGAGTTTTTTTCTGGCACCTCCAAGAACTTACGGCTGTGCCCCTCCCCACAGGTATTCTGTGACATGGAGACTAATGGAGGTGGCTGGACCCTCATCCAGCGCCGGGAGGATGGCCATGCAAATTTCCAGCAGACCTGGAAGGGATACAAAGAGGTAAGAATCTGACCTTAGGGGCTCCCATTCCAGAGCCTGTGAGAGATGTAGTGGTGTGCCCTCCCCCGTCCCCAGAGAAAAAAGCCAACTGCCTGGACTCATTGCTTCCCTGGACCCCAACCTCAAATTGAGCCCTTTTTATTGAGGGGGGAGGTGATGACATTTCTGACATATGTCCTAAGAATAAAAATTTATTTTCATTTTAGAATTTGGAAAGGTAACATATGCACACTGCTAATGTTTTTAAAGAATGCAAAAGAGGACCTGGGGCAATAACTCAGTCAATAGTGTTTGCTGTGCAATCATGAGGACCCAAGTTTGATCCCAAGAAGTCATATAAAAAAATTCAGGCAAGGTGGCATACACCTCTAATTCCAGAGCTGGAGAGGCAAAGACAGATAGATCCCTTGGCCAGCCAGCCTTGCTGAATCATCAAGCTCCAGGCCAATGAGATATCCTATCTCAAAAGGTGCACAGCTCCCGAGGGATGACACCTGAGGTTGACCTCTGGCCTCCATCTTCATGCGTGTATACACATGTACATACATGCAAATGTGCACCCACACAAACACATACACATGCATATACACAAAGGAATGGAAAGGATCGAACAGAAAAAACTACTACCGCATGACTGAAATGAACTTGTCTTTTCCTTGTCTGTATATACAACTGTGACCACATTTGCAAGACAAAGTCATCTTGTTTTTCTTTTCTTCCCTCACCTCCTCTTTCTCCTTCTCCTGTTATGGGACCTCATATATCACAAGTTGGCCTTGAGATTTCTTTGTAGCAGAGGATGACCTTGAACTTCTGGTCCTCCTGCCTCCACCTTCTGAGTGCTGGGATCTCAGGCCTGTACCACCACACCTGGTTTAAGACAAATTCTTTGAAGTAGAAGTTCTAGCTTAAAGACCATGTGCATTTATGGAATGGCAAATAGAGCCTGGCTGTCTTCTAATGTTTTTTTAAGTTACATTTTGAGTAAAGGATTTGGGGCAAGCCAACTTAAAAGAACTTAAAGTTTTCAAAAGCAAAAAATATATCTAGAGAAAAAAATATACACAGAAAATAGAGCAATCTTGGGGCTGGAGAGATGGCTTAGCAGTTAAGAGCACAGACTGCTCTTGCAAAGGACCTGGGTTTGATTCCCAGCACCCACATGGTGGCTAACAACTGTTTATAATTCCATTTCCAAGGGGATCCAGAGCCCTCTTCTGACTTCCAAGGGCACTGCACAACACTGGGGTACTTACACACATGCAGGCAATACACACATACACATAAAATAAAAATTAAAATATTATTATATAAATAATAAAATATAAGAAACAGAACAATCTTCTGATCTGTGTCGGTTAGCTGTTTGCTGGATACTTAGAGTGGTTGGTACTAAGCCTCTGGCTGATCAAAGGCAAGGTGGGCTGAGGGGATACACGGGCTGCTACGTGTCCCTGTCCTTGGTCCTGAATGATTGCTCTGCCGGGGTGTACGTTTCCTGCCACCCTGAGACTTGGGTCCCAGAGACACTCTGAGTACTCTTAGCTTTACATTTCTACATCACTAAACTTTTCGGCCACTATCTTGTCCCTGGGAAAAATGTCTCAACTGTTTTTGCCAAGCAGCTGCAGCTGATTTGTTTCATTTCTCTTCGGGCTTCGTGTTCAGGTAGCTGAGTGCACGACTGTGAAGTAGAAAGCTCAGTGAACTGTCACACATGCTCGTCCGTGTGACCCCCATTCATAGCCTCCTGGCACCCCACAAGACTCCAGTGTCCCCTCTCTGTACCCAAAAATAGTCATTATTTTTAAAATTTTATTATGGATGGGGCTGGAGAGATGGCTCAGTGGTTAAGAACACTGGTTGTTCTTGCAGAGGACCCGGGTTCAAATCCCAGCACCCACATGGCCGTTAACAACTGTCTGTAACTCTAGTTCCAAGGGATCTGACAGTGTTTTCTATCCTCCTCGGGCATTGCACAACACAGGTGCACTTACCTTCATGCAGGCAATATACGCATACACATAAAATAAAAATAAATAAATTTTATTATGGAAGGGATGTGCGTGCATGCATGTGTGTGTGTGCGTGTACCCATGTATGTGGTATAGATACACATGTGAGGGTTCATGCTCCTATGCATGCTAGGAGGCCAGAGGAGGGTGTCAGGTGTCCTGCTCTAGCCCTCTATTCCCCTGAAACAGGGTCTCTCATTGAACTTAGAGCTAGGTAGGTGCTCACGAAGCCATGCCCAGCTTTTTGTATGGGTGTTGGGCATTCAAACTCTGGTCCTTGTTCTTGCACAGCAATCCCTTACTCATTCAACCATTCCCTCAGCTACTCCAATTTCTGTCACCACAGGTGAGTCTTGCCTATTCCTGACTTCAGAGGAATGTGATTTCAATGATTTTTAATGGACTTTTACATTTAAAAACCCTGTTTTTTTTTTACCCCCTCTGGATTGAGGTTCCCACCCCAGGCCTGCACATACTGTTCTTATGAACTTAGGCTCACTGACTTTGTTCATAAGTGGCCATGGAGCCAGGTCTGGCCCATCTCCTCAGCCACGGATGTCACCTCCCTCCTCGGCTTGTGGTCACCCTTTTCTCTCCTCCCCATAGGGCTTTGGTGACCCGGCTGGGGAGCACTGGCTGGGCAATGAGGTGGTGCACCAGCTAACCAGCAGAATGGCCTACTCACTGCGTGTGGAGCTGCAAGACTGGGAAGGCCATCAGACCTATGCCCAGTATGAGCACTTCCAGCTGGGCAGCGAGGGGCAACAGTTCAGGTGGGCTCATGGCCCAGGCCTGTGGGTGGGCTGGGGTCCCTGGGCAAATGGCTGCACAGTCTGCACCAGGGGTCATTCCCTGGGCGTCTCCTGTTCCTACCATCTGGCCCCTATTTGGGCGCACGTCACGGGATCCAGAGGCGGCTGCTTAGCACTCAGCACATCTCAGCCACTGGGTGGGGTGAAGAGACTGTCACTGACGCCACCATCCCTGGAGCAGGAAGGGGCCTTCCAAGGTCAGTTAAGCCCATTTATAGAGAGGAGAGAGGAGGGGGTTGATGTTTCAGTCTGACTATGTCCTGGGTTGAGAGGTCCCCAGGCTGAGAGATGGGACCTAGACCCTTTCCAGCACTCCTGAAGCTCAGTGTGAACTTGGGCACATGAAGGTCAGCATTCTCTGTGCTCTTCAGCAGCCTTGGACATGAAACTATAGCCAAATCATCAGGGTTTCCCACCTCTTCCTCTGCCTAATTAATGGTGTGTTTAGGAAAAGAAGCAAGCATTTCCTGGCATCTGTGTTCCAGGCACTGTTTAATCCTCCCCTCAACCCTTAGAGGCAGAATTACAGCACCTGCCTTAGTGATAGGGAAACTGAGGTAATGAGCTTAAGTCCAATGTCTAAAATGGTAAGCTAGGTGGATCCTGGGTTTGAATTCTGATCTTCCTGTTGCCCAAAACTCACTGTATTTCCATTCCACGATGTCCCTTCTTTTAAGACATTCACTCATCTTCAAAATAAGTCTGGGTCTTGGCTATCTTTGAACCAGGCCAGCATGGGCTCATGGGCTCACCCACACTGCTGCAAGCACCCCACCTAGCATCTGGCCCCGCCACAGCTGCACATGCTCCAGCAGGCTGAGGGAGAGGTCACTTCTCTCAAGGACTCTCCAAATGACTCTCTGTCCTCCTGCATTCTAGGGACCTCTCCATGGCATTTCCCCACACCTCTCTCTTAATGTCCCTGCTTCCTCCAGCTGGGTGGGCCTGCCATCCCTCCTTGCAGGAACCACTCCAATCCTTGACATGCAAGAGGCAGAGCTGCTGGGAGCATCCCTGAGTCTGAGCTATGCAGGGCTGAACCAGGAGCTCCAGATCTTCAAAGCTGACTAGGGAACACCTACCACCGCCTGCTGGTGCCAACTGACTCCAGTGATCCCCCAAGGGAAAAACTATGTCCCACTTGCATTCTTTACTGTGTGGTATTGAGCAAATCCCTCTACCCTCTGCTGAGTGGGGGTCCTGGACATCCCCTCCTTGCTCAGAGAGTGCAGGCTCCAATGTGGGGCTTCACCAAAAGCATCATCACAGTGCCTGGCATACAGGAAATGTTCAGTAAGTGCTGTTATAATATCTATCCGTATGGCTGCCCTTGCACACACTGGCCTGCTCTGTAAGAGCCAAAGCCTTACTCTCTGCTACTCCCTCCCCAGTTCTTGGAACATGGTGAGTGCATCTGAGCAAACAAAGCTCCCCCCCATTCCTATAGAGAAAATACCTGGAGAAGTGAGCAGGTACTTAAATGCTGATTAGTTTTGTGGCCTTAAAAATGTTACTTAAGCAGGGCTAGAGAGATGGCTCAGCAGTTAAGAACACCTGCTGTTCTTGCAGAAGACCCAGGTTCAAATCCCAGCATCCACATGGCAGCTAACAACTGTCTGACACTCCAGTTCCAAGGGATCCAACAGCCTCTTCTGTCCTCCTTGGGCATTGTACAACATGGGCACTTACCTACATGTAGACAATACATGCATACATGTAAAATAAAAATAACAAATAAAAAATTTAATGTTACTTAAGGCTAGAGAGATGGCTCAGCAGTTAAGAGCACAGTTCTTGCAGAAGACCCAGGTTCGACCCAGGACCCACATGGTGGCTAACAACCTTTCATAACACCAGTTCCAGGGGATCCAATGCCTTCTTCTGTCCTCCATGGGCACTGTATAACACAGGTGCACTTACACTCATGCAGGTATAACACTCATACACATAAAATAAAAATAAATCAATTTTTTAAAATTTAATGTCTTTGTACATCAGTTTCCCCACTGTAAAATGTAGTGTCTACATTAAAAAATGAGATAATCTGGGGCTGGAGAGATGATTCAGTGGTTAAAAGCACTTGCTACTCTTGCAGAAGACCCGTGTTCAATTCCCAGCACCCACATGACAGCTAACAACCATCTATAACTCCAGTTCCAGGGGATCTGAAACCCTCTTCTGACCTCTGCGGGCATTGTACGACACAGGAACACTTACACACATGCAGGCAATACATTCATACACATAAAATAAAAATAAACTATTTTGAATGAGAATCTGTGGTAAGGCCACTAGCATATAGTGAATATTGGATAAATTTTGGAGATGTATAAAGGATAGATTCAAAGACAACTGTAACATTCCTGTATCTGTCTAACATCAGCTCTCTGTTTGTGCCCATCACACAAATGTCTGCCTGTGTGCTCAGTGTGCAGCCCTTGGCATGGTCCCAGGTGTGAACTGGATGCACACCCTCTGGCTTTGTCTCTGAACCATCTAGAACTTCCTGACCCCAGCTCTGACTATCATGCCTCAAAGAGCCACATTTCCCTGACCTTCTTCAGAGCCCTAAATGACAGGATATTGAAACTTGTCCCATATCAGGCACACCTTGCACTAGTCACTTAGAAAAGACTGACCTGGATCTACCCCCTCAAAGCTGTTCACAGCCCAGATTAGTGGTGGTGGAGGGGAGACATGTTCACAGGCAACCTGCATCCTTGGGGAGGCAGCAGCTTCTTGGGAGTGGGGTGGGGGTCAATGTACAAGGCTTGGAGATGCTTGGTGATCAGAAAGGTCTCCTGAGAAGACATCCTAGACAGCAGGATGTTTTAAAAAATGACAGAGAAGGTCTTGGGAGATAGCTCAGTCAGTAAAGTGCTTACCTCAAGAGCACAAGTTTCCATATTTAAAAAGTGGGCACAGGAACATGTGCTTGCAATCCTAGTGCTAGGAGAGTAGAGTCAGGAGGCTTACCAAGTCACCTAGCCTAGCCTATTAGGCAAGTTCCAGGCCAGTGAGAGACCCAGTCTCAAAAAAATAAAGAAGGCCTGAGGAATGACATCTGAGATTGGCCTCTATATGTACCTGCAGACACACACACACACACACACACACACACACACACACACACAAGCAATTGAGGACGACACCGAATGTTAACCTCTGGCCTCCACATGCACACAAACATGATGCACCCACAAGTGTGCCTGCACACTTTGCACTCACCCACCCACACACACACACACACCCACACCCCCCCACACACACACACACACACAAATATGCACACACCAAAAAAAAAAAATTAAAGGCAGATTTGGCATCCAGCAGGGTCACACATTCCCAAACCCTGAATGACACTCTCACTAAGGCTGCTAGGGCCATAAAGGGCCAAGAATAGCCTAGGAGACTGACCAGGGGTCCTGGAAACCACAAGAGGGCCTGAAACTGTCTGGGGAGGGGCAGAGGGAAAAGGATAAGGCTGCTGGCCCTGGGCCCATCTCCGGGTCAGCCGCTGCAGTCAGAAGATCCACAGGGCTTCCTAGGGGCAGGGATGCATAGGCTAGCAGCCAAGAGTACATGAGCAGGACACACCCTTGTTTGTCAGATGCAGTGATGGGGACCTTCTGAGCCCAGCTGGGATGTACTTCACGTTCTTGCTTGAAGATCTACAGGAGATTTAAGTATCTGGGTTTCTTCAGGCATACCTAATCAATGAGGCATACCTAATTAAGTGAGGTTTCCAGGTCTGTGAGGTAGAGGTCCCCAGAGGTCACTGACTCCAATTCTGCTTCCCAGAGGGGAGGAGGACATCACTGAGTCTTTAATGGCTATAGGGAGAAGCAAGAAGCCTGTGAGTAGGTGGGCAACCTATGAGTTGGAAGTCCCTTAGCCAGGCAGACCTCTAGGCAACATTAGTCCCCTGGCCTAGAGTGACATTTTAAAGGGCACACTTAGGCCCACATAGCTGATCTCAGCCATCTGGGCCCTGAGGGTCATGCCCTGCCTTACCACAGACAGAACCCATGGATAAGAGGCGTGGGACCCATGTTCCCCTGGACCTGTGGGGCTGGTTCCTAGGTCCTCCATGGAGATCAGGGCTTCCTTACTGTGCCCTGGCTTCCCCTGCCATCTCCTTAATTCCACTCTGTGGAAGCATCTTAACTACTTGCAAACTGACTCCTACCTCAGCTGTAGAGGCAAGCCTTCCCCGCTCAAGCTCCCAGTACTTTCAGCCAGGCCAACCAATGCCAAGGGCTGGATGCCCAGCCTTGGATGTGTCAAGAGCTCCACATGATCTCCCCCGTCAGCACACTTCACCTGCTTATGTCACAAAATCACACAGTGGGCAAGATCACAGTAAGACTCTTGTTACATTTGAACACATGAAGACACTGAGGCTGAAGGGGTGAAAAGCAGCCATGCTGGGGTTTCAGTCCAGGCACTCTGCCCTCCCCACACACTCCAAGGCCATTATCATCCTACAGGCTTGGACATGCTCAACAGGGACACAGAGTCTGGCAAAGAAATAGAAGCCCTCTGTCCCCTACCTGGGGGTTCCCTGGATCTAGATCCATGTGGGCTGGTATAGTCAGAGAAGATGTGTGATATAGAGCATCCATGATGGGGCTGAGGTCATAGGATGGTCAGCTGGCAGGGCAGAGGGAAGATAGCCCTGCTCCTATGAGGTCACACTAGGCTGGACTCTGACTCTGACCCTTACTGGTTCTGAGACCCTGATCAGATTCCTTGTCTCTTGGAATTCCATTTCCTGAAGTGTAAAGAGTGCTGTGAGGTTTCAGTTATAGTGAATTAACCCTTGGAAGGCTCTTTAACAATTCCTGGCACAGAACTGATACTCAAAAACCATTATCCACTGTCTTCATTTTTTACTAAACCCATTCAGAACTTGCAAGGACCCAGGGTCAGCCAGATAAAGCAGGTCCAGCAGCAGTTAGGTGCTGTGACCTGGGGGTAGCAGGTAGGGAGGACTACGGCCAGGAGAGAAAATGGCCCAAGCACTGCAGCAGGCTGGGCTCTCCCTACAAAAACAACATGGAAAACTTGTAGGACACAAAGCCCCTGGGAGAGCCCCCCAACTCAGTTCCAACCTGATTCTGTGCCCCTCTCTCACTCTACCTCCCCACGGCCTCTAGCCTCTCTGTGAGTGGGAGCAGCGGCTCAGCAGGGCGTAAGAACAGTCTGGCTCCACAGGGCACCAAGTTCAGCACCCGTGATATGGACAATGATAACTGCGTGTGCAAGTGTGCTCAGATGATGTCTGGAGGTGAGTGTGCTCAGATGATGTCTGGAGGTGGGTGCATTCAGATGATGTATAAAAGTGGGTGCACCTGGCTGGCCACCTGCCAAACCTCTCTCCTCCAGGTTCTCAGGGTCCTGCAGGATTGCATCTCCTACAGCACCTCTAGCTTTTCTCAGAGATTAGCTGGAGGATGCACACTAGCCATCAGTTCCACCCCTTGTCTGAGAATTCCTCAACTCCCCAGGCCAGGCAGGAAGAGCATTGGGAAAACCAGAGGCACAGAGGGCACACTCCCCATTCCCACCTCTGCATCAGACAGTGCTCCTGGCAGGGATAGAAGACAGAAGGTGGGGAATGGCTTGGGAAGAACACAAATAACAAGAGACCCAAGTCACAGAGACAAGGGCGGAGGGAGGGTAACAGAGGCAGAGAGGTGCAGGGGATGGAGCAAACGGAGTGAGGAGAGGAATAGAGCCCAAGGGATGGGTGGTAGTGTGCACAGCATACTGGAGACATTGTGATGAGAGAGACAGAGACCACCCAAGCAAAATGACACAGATGGAGGACATACAGAGTGACAGCCACAAACACTGAGGTCACTAGGGGGAGAGAGATAACATGAAGTCAGAGGGGCTTGAGCAGAGCCCTGTGGGCCTCCAAAGCCCTAGCTCCACCCCTGCCCATGCCCTCCTCTTGCAATGAACTGCCATCCCATGGAGGTAATAGCCCATCAACCTCATCCTCCAGGATCCAGGACTGCCATATCCCACCTCCCCTAAATCCTTGCACCCTCCTCTTCCACCAGGGTGGTGGTTTGACGCCTGTGGCCTCTCCAACCTCAACGGCATCTACTACCCAGCTCTTCAACACAGGCGCAAGCTCAATGGCATCCGTTGGCACTACTTCCAGGGTCCCAGCTACTCACTACGTGCTACACGCATGATGCTGCGGCCAATGGGTGCCTGACATGTAGCCCTGCAGAGGCTGATGATGCAGGAGACCACAGCCCAGATGCCCCAGCACAAGCTGGACCCAGCCAGATCCAGTGCCAGGGATTCATCCTTGACATGCTGGGCCACCAGAGACAGCTTACTTTATCCACAAAGTCCAAAAGAGTTACCTGCTACCTATGCCCCCCTCTTTGCGAAATATCAGGTATGTGGGGTACTGCCCCTGTGGTACCCACACCCTTCTCTTTCCTGCCACCTGCAGGGACTCCCTGCCATGACCTGAGGCAGTCCCTGGAGAGGAGTGACTCTTGGTGGGATTGTAGCAGGTGAAAGGAGCCTGCATGTGAAGTGTGCCCTCATCCAAAAGAGGCTCAGAGTCTGGCCCCCTTTCTTCTCCAATTCCAACTTGCCTAGCCGTGAGATGCCTGTGGACTTCCTTTCCATGTCTTGAGGGGCTGTACCCACCTCCAGTGCTAACCAGTATTTCCCCTCAGTGCTCCCTGGCTCCTGAACTGCAATGACAAACACTCAGACCTGTTCTCTCAGGGCTTCCGGAGGTCTAAGAGGGCTCTTTTTACCCCCAGCATGCCCTAAAGTGTGTCCGATAGGTAATAACTAGGGCTCCTCTCTAAAGTACCTAGGGCCAAGTGAGAAAGAAACAGCAGGTTAAATAAAAAGAAAGGCATTCTTAACTGCTGGATTTGTTAGAACTTTTCATGTTCCCAAACCTTGTGGCTACCTACGAATGGGCTAGAGGAGGCAGCTTTCTCCAAATTTACTTATTTGAAAATGAGGGCTGAAGAGATCATCTCAGTTGGTAAAGTGCTTGACATCCAAGTTTGCACATCCATATCCAAATCCCCAGCACCCCTATAAAATGCTGGGTGTGGCACTGTGTCCCTGTGATCACAGTACTGGGGAGGCAGAGACAGGCAGATTTCTGGAGCTCGATGGCCAACCAGCCTAGCTGAATCAGTGATCTCCAGGTTCAGCGAGAGCACCTATCTCTAAAAATAAGGTGGAGAAGCAGTTGAGGAGGATACCAGGATTTGCCTCTGGCCTTCACATGCATGTGCACACACATGCACATGCCCCCACACATGAACACACATGCAAATAATTTTTATGAGCCCTATTTGTCCCACCTCAAGGCTGTGACTTCCCTTGGAAAAGTTGGACTTCGCCCACCATGAAGAGGAGTCCTAAGGCCTGCCCCCGATACCTAGCTCTATATACTTTTCCTGACTATAAGGACCACAGGGAGAGCCTCAGATGCCCTCTAAGAACAACTAGAAGAAACTTTGGGTTGAAAATAGGTATATGCCATCCTTGAAGAAGGTTCTAGAACAGAGTCTCTATGCTAGGAGTTAAAGTCCTCTAGGGCTCCTTCTGCCCCCCAAGAAGCCAGACCTCTATGTAGCCACCCTCAGGGCTCCCCAGCCACCCTGTCTCAGTCCAGCAACTGTCAGGACAGCAGCGGTGAGGGACCCTTCCTGCCTCTAAGACAGAACCTCTTCCTGCCTTGTCCAAGATGGTACTGTGGCTGCAACATCTGAGAAGTCTGGGCCTCTGCCTGAACTGGGAGCCCTGGGGCCTTCATGATCTGTAAGAAGCTATAATCAGAAAGAGGCCACAACCGCTCTCCCACCTAGCCCATCACTGTGTCCCCTCTGCAGTCCTAATGAGGCCCCCACAGTGCTGTCACTATCCCTTGACACCCAGCCCAGCCAGGAAGCATCTTCTTCTGGTCTCCTGGGTGAGCAAGACCCACAGGGATGGGCTCTGAGGAACCAGAGCAGCCTCAGCTTCCTCTAGGAAATTGTACCTGCCTTTGCGGTTCAACAATGGAGTGGCATTTCCAGCAGAATAGGAAAGGACTTAGGAATAGGCTGTTGCACAGAAAGCTCAAACTGTCTTAACTCAGCATTTGCCCATCAGAATTTTTACTTAGTACCTACTGTGTGCAGTATGAGAGTGTGAGCCAAGTTTTGGGGTCATACAAACCTAGGGGTCTGAGACCCTAGGTCAGTGGCTCAGATTCCCACAGCTTCCCATTGTTTTGCCTATGAAATGGACCCAATAATGCTCCCTCCCAGCTGGGCTGTGGTGCAGAGGGATGAAACCAGTGCCAGTATCCCAATAGCCTGGCAAGACACAGGTGCCTAGAAATGCTAGTTCCTGGGCTGGGGAGATGTTCAGTTGGTAAAGGGCCTAAGAACTGAGCTTAATTCCCAGAACCATATTTTAAAAATGAGCATGGTTTCATGCCCCTGTAATCCCAGCACTAAGGAGATGGAGATAGGCAGATCCCTGGGGCTCACTAGCCAGGCCAGTTTAGACAAATGGGCAAGTTCTAGGTTCTAGTGAGAGACCCTGTCTCAAAAAAAAAACAAGGTGGGTAGCTCCTAAGGAATGACACCCAAGGTTGATCTCTGGCCTAGACACACACACACACACACACACACACACACACACACACACGTCTGTGTGTGTGTGTGTGTGTGCATGGGTGTACATATACAAATGCTAGTTCCCTAAAAGGTCAAAGGAGAAGGCCACCTCTCCCCAGTGCGGGCCACCCCTCTAGCAACCAGTGTTTTAAAAGGCCCAGGTGATTAGGCTCACCCTCAAATGCCTGTCTTAGATATTCACACTGCCCTCTTGCCTCCTCACCAAGACACAGAAACACCATCCTGAACATGATGGGTTCATTCACATACATAGGAAGGTTTCAGGCACACCTAGCTCAAGTGATGTCTGACTCCGATGGTGGCTTGTCACACTCCTGGTTGGCTTCATTCTCAGCCAGGGTCCAGTAGCCTGGGTTCACATCCCGTTTCAGCATCCAAATCGGAACTGCCCTGACCCAGAGGTTCCAGTCAAGGACAATTCTCTCTGACCAACCTGGAACTGGAATTCTGAGTGGCCAAGCCCAGGTCATGTGATCAAGTCTGGACACAGGGTGGGGCCAGTCCAACCAAGCCCAGTCCTGTTTGCAAGGAGCCAGGAGGGAGGAGAGACCTTCTCTTCCTCTTCTGTCTCCCCACCTCTGCCCAGCTCCCAGATTCCCTGCCCCCAAGTCCTGCCTCAGGAGCCAGTTCAGTCCCAGGTCGCCTCAGATGATCAAGGACACAGCTGTGTCCTGCCCAGAGATGTTTTCAGTCCTGGTTCTGTAGAGCCCTGGTCCTCTCTGAGCCTCAGTGTCCCAAGAAGCACTTGTCAATTCTGACAACCCTGTGGGCAGTAGTGTGGATTTACCTTAGCTTCTAGAAGAGCCCTGCAATGGTGAGGAGAGAGAGGTGCTGGGGCCCAGGCTGTGCCTCCTGGCCACAGCTCCCCAGAACAGGCTCTGAAATTCTTGCAGCTGCAGATTCCCGTGCAAAAATCTTTATCACCTCTTCTTGTGTCCAACCAGTGTCCTTCCGCATTAGTGGTATAGGCAGAGAAAGGGTTTCATCCATGTGCATAACCCTCCCCCACCCCACCCCACCCCCAACCCCAGCCCAGTTCGGCATGAATCCATGAGCTACCTCCCTCCAGAGCTCTCTGGAGGCATCTTGGCCACCCACTACAAAAGTGCTAAAGTGCTATTCCTGCTGCCGACAGCAAGGGCTTAAGGAACATTCTGGAAAGACCTCTTTAAGACCAGCCTGTCCTTCCCTCTGGCGCCTGGTGGCTCCTGATGGAGCCAGCCAGGCAGAACATGCTGTTCCTGAGAGCAATGCATGCCACCAGAAAAGGCAGTTTCTACACTGAATGAGTTCACTGTGTGCATCCCAGAGCCCCAACAATGGGCAAAGGGGAGGGATGGTCCTTGGGCAAGGGGGCAGGAGACATCAGTCCTCCTAGAATAGTTCTTCAGCGGCTCTGGGGTGGATTCTTCTCTGGGTTTTCCTCTGTACCCCTGTCTGCCTGGGCATTGCCTTTCCCTTTTAAAGATGCTTTGAGAGGCTGGAGAGATGGCTTAGTGGATAAGAGCACTGGCTGCTCTTGCAGAAGACCTGGATTAGGTTCCCAGCACCCACATGGTGGCAAACATTTATTCCTGACTCCAGTTCCAGGGGCCTCTTCTCGCCCCTGTCAGCAGTGCATAACATGGCTGAATTTACATTTGTGCAAGCAAAACACTTATTCGCATAAAATGAAAATAATAAATGAACTATTTTTTTAAGAATAAAGGCGCTTTGAAAGCAGCACTGTTGCCTTGACAACAGCAGTGACCGCCTCTTTTGATGGAGCAGCTTTTCAGAGACATGCGGCATCTGGCCTGGCATTCGTCCTTGTGCACCCATCCCTTCATGGGTGGTTGGCTGAAGACCTACTGGTCAGAGGCCTGGCCCATCCCTATCACCCAGTGGATGAGACAGATGTCCACAATCCATCCTCACTGAGCTGAGTAGCCTTAGGAAGAGATTGACAAAATCAAATTAAAAATAGTCAAGAGGTAGGAATGACGAATGTGCCCCAAATGTAGATAACAGGTGGGTAGCATAGGCTCCAACACAGAAGAGCCAGGGAGGTGATCTGGTGCATGTGTGCGCATGTTCCCATTTGTATGTGTGTGTATATATGCACATGAAGACCAGAGGTTAACATCAGGTTTCTTCCTTAATTGTTCTTCCTTCCTTCCTTCCTTCCTTCCTTCCTCCCTTCCATTCTTTGGGTTTTTCTTTTTCTTTCTTTCTTTCTTTTTTTTTTTTTTTTTTTTTTTTTTTTTTAAAAATTTTGAGACAAAGTCTTACCGTATAGCCCTGGCTGGCCTGGAATTCACTATGTAGACCAGGCTAGACTGGATCTCACTAGAGATCTGCCTGTCTCTACCTCCCAAGTGCTGGGATTAAAGGTGTGAGCCACCATGCCCAGCACTCTCCACATTTTTTTTTCCTGTCTCTGCCTCCCCAGTGCTAGGACTCTTAAGCACACAATGCTGTGCCCAGCTTATGTGGCACAAAGGATCTGAACTGTGTCCTCATGCTTGTGTGGTAGGCACCTTACCAACTGAGCTATCTCCCCAGTTCTCGGGAGTCAGTCTTCAAATCAAGGAGTAAGCAGGTGTAGAGGACACAGCCAGGGGAAGAGCTGTAGGAGGAATAGCCCACTATAGTGACCAGCCAGTGCAAAGGCCCTGATGTTGCCACAAGATTGGCTAATTTGTGTAACTATGGAAAGCCAGCATGGCTAGAGGCTGGTGAGCAAGCAGATGGAGAAGGAATGTGCCTTCTAAGCACAAGAGACCAACAGCTCCCCATGCCCACCAAAGACTGGCTCTAGCCCCCTTGCTCTCTGACTCACCATGGGTCTAGAAAGAAGATCTGTTTCTCTCTAGATCTCAGTTCCCATCTGTCAGCCACAGGAGAGGACTCACCCATCCCCTCCCTCTGGAAGTCCTCCAGATGCCACTGCTGGGTTAGCTGGGGTCAAGGGTCTACTCTGTCCACCACCCTGAGCCAGATGTCAGTGGGATGTTAGAAAGAAGGAAATGCAGCAGTTAAAAGCACTGGTTACTCTTTTGGAGGATCCAGGTTCAATTCCCAGCACCCACATGGCAGCTAACAATTGTCTGAAACGTCTGATACCCTCTTCTGGCCCCCAAAGGCACTGCACACATGTGGTATTCTTACATACATGTGGGCAGAACACTCATATACATACAATAAAAATAATAA